TCTCTCTCCCTCTCCTGACAGCCCGTCAGTATCAGGGTTAGTACAAATGAATCCCTTGGAGGTTCTAGTGTTCATTTACCGTTTTGTCTTCTCTTTGCAATGCTTAATCGATTTGAAACCAAGTCTAACGTAGCTTAAACTTAACGTTAGCTTTCTAGCTAACACAACACATTCACGCACCTTTCTCTGTGGGGTTTTTTGTAGTGACGAATGAAGTTGGATGTTTTGGTGGTCGTGTCACTGATCTTTATGCTGCAGACCCTGCATACCGCTGTTCTCTTCTTATTAGCGTCATCGACAACATAATCCTTGAATCCAAACTTCACTATTTTTGGAGTAACGCAAGCCGCTGCCATGTTAACTGACAGTCCTGCCGTTTAGTGGGTTGCCAGGTTTGCGCGCACGGCGCTATAATCACCCAATCACGTTTTTCGAAAAAACTAAACGTAATATCTCAATACAAAAACAAACGCAAATATTTAATTTTAAACAGACAAGTCCTTTCAAGTCATCTGTCTCAAGCTTAAGTCAAGTCTCAAGTCATGAATACCAAGTCAAAGTCAAGTCAAGTCTTTTATCAATGTTAGTCAAGCAAGTCTCAAGTCAAAAAATATGCGACTCGAGTCTGACTCGAGTCAAGTCATGTGACTCGAGTCCCCACCTCTGCAAATCACACTGTGCTAATTTCCAAATCCAGTTTCACTGTGCAAGCTGAGAAAGACGCTCTACATGAGGCGGGCCAATCACCCATTTGCAAGTGGGCGGGATCTTACTGTCACAGGGAATACTCCGGGGCTGTATTCACACAAGTATCTTTTTTATATGCCCTCTTTATGATGGATGGATGGATCATGGATGGATAGAACAATGGATGGATGAATTACTTAATTTAGTCTATGATGACCGTCATCAAAATATGGATTGAAATGATCATTCTTTTTTTAACACAAATTGAAGTATACAGTATTACTGAAAGTGTAACCTTTCTCCGACTGGGGAGGTACTTTTAGTTCAACCTATTCTAGACATATTTTTGGGGTTTTCTAAACATGCATTTATCATGTAACATCTTAAAGCAGCCAGAACTCTTGTCCTTGTGTGTTTACAGTGGGTGAGGGCTCTGTATTTCATATTTCACAACACATTTTAAAACATGTGTTGGAATGGAAAACCATGAAAGACAAGAACAAAATAGATCTTATAAAGGAATTTAATAGTATGTCAATAAGCAATTAAATTACTTTTCACTTAAGTACAAAATGAAGGCAACACTAGAGTAACACATGGGTATTATTCGGATTTATCATCAACAACAGACTTGTAATGTGTTTAGAGAGCACATTGTTGTATAAATACTAGGGCTGTCAGTCGATTAAAATAGTTAATTGCGATTAATCGCAAATTAATCGCACATTTTTTATCTGTTCTAAATGTACCTTAGAGGGATATTTTTCAAGTTTTTAATACTCTTATCAACATATGAGAGGACAAATATGCTTTATATGTTTGTTTATTATCATTTGAACAATGACAAATATTCTCATAAATATTAAACACAACAACCTCTGAACATTACAAATATTCGCCTCAATTCAACCTAGAACCTCTCTCATACAATAATGTGTGTGTGTGTGTGTGTGTGTGTGTGTGTGTGTGTGTGTGTGTGTGTGTGTGTGTGTGTGTGTGTGTGTGTGTGTGTGTGTGTGTGTGTGTGTGTGTGTGTGTGTGTGTGTGTGTGTGTGTGTGTGTGTGTGTGTGTGTGTGTGTGTGTGTGGAGACACCGTGATGGATCGTTGGAGCTATGTGCAGCTCAAGGCATATATGCTCGAACGGGAGCTGCCTGGACGCTGCAATCATGTTGCGCGCACTATCCGTGCTGAGTGTGCTGACTTTTCGTACAATGTCCCACTGTCTGGCTACCTGCATAAAGTCAAGTGCTCGGCGCAGTTGTCGGCGAAATGTCGCTCCTCTGTTTTCATTGAAACAGCTCCTTTTATCCGTTAGCGCAGCTAGCTAGCACCAGATGCTAACAACAACAACAACACGTAAGGTGTGCCTCGCTCGCCCCACACATACACACACCCTCCCGGTCCTCCCGATGGCCAGTCCGGGCCTGCCGGTGAGCGTGGAAGTGTGGTCTGCCACAAGCGGGCGGCAGGAGCGGGGCTGTCAGCATCAGCTTGTAGATGGTATTTTAAACTCGATGCGCTCTGAAACTACGGGGCGGCCAAGGACAAAAAATACACATGCGTTAATCGCGTTAAAATAATTAGTCGCGTTAACTTGACAGCCCTAATAAATACATACATATTTTCAGCAAGAAAATGCAAGACACACTTAATTATATCATGATACAAAAAATGTGCTTTGAAGCCCATAGAACAACCTGCCTGAAAGTTCTAGGACAACGAAATCTGCAAGTAGGTTATCCACTCTGAAGTACTTCTCCACTCGCATTGTCCTTTAAAATGATTTTATTACTCTGTTAGGTTACTCGCCCGACTAGGCTAAAGGCTCTGTGGAGAACACACAGACACAGACACACACACACACAGACACACACACACACGCACACACACACACACACACACACACACACACACACACACACACACACACACACACACACACACACACACACACACACACACACACACACACACACACACGAGGCAGTTCACCGTCTCTTGTTCCAAGGAGCACTGATCCATGATGTTCTGCTTGTGTGATGCTGTAAGAGGCAGCAGCAGTATGGGGGTTATTCCTTATCTTTATTCAAGAGCGTGGTCTTTAAATTTGAGAGCATAATTTATTGACTTCACGTTCAGATTATGTACTTCTTTCCCTCAAACCCTGTCATCGCACTCAAATAGTGCCTTCTTGCGCTTAGATTTGCTGTGCTTCTGCTCAAACTGTACGCTTGCATTCAGATATATAGCTGCTTGCACAGATTTCCCGTGTTCCAGCTTAAAACCTTCTCCTCGCACTCAGGCTGTTTCTGTGCGCTCGTCAAATGTCTGCTCTCAGATTTCTGCTGTCAAAATCCCTCAACCAATAGGAGGCCAGGTGTCCTTGCGGGTGCGTTCGCTTTAATATATATTTTATATGTTTGTGTTATGTGTTATGTGTAACGTTGCTGCCTTCTTGGCCAGGTCAGCATTGCAAATGAGATTTTATCTCAATGTTTTTATCTGGTTAAATAAAGGTTCAATAAAAATAAATAAATAAAAACACCGTGCTGGAGCAGAACAACAGTCTGGAGGATCGCTGTCCAACATGGAGCAAAGTCATATCGTTTTATTTGCCATACTTTTTACGCTGGCAAGGGTGTCGTGAATCAACCACGTCAGGTCTTGCTCATTGACAGCTGCATGAACTAACATGGCTATTAACGTTAGCTTAAACCAAGGTGGTAATATTTTAAATGGCTCTTAAATACACGCAATATAGTAATCGTAATGTATGCTTCTGTGAGTTTCATTTTCCCTTCATCCATGGGTGTGTAGCACATGTCCTGTTTAAGTTTAATCAGTGTGGCGAAATAAAAGACTCACATAAATAATTAGGGATGCTCCGATCGATCGGCCGCCGATCGTTATCGGCCGATATTCACTCTTAATAGTGTGATCGGTGCTCTCTATAAAGGCCTACGGTACCTGGAACAACCTAAACTAGTTATAAATATGTTTATTTTTCACTGTCGGGTCACTCATTACTGGATCAGTGAGCTGCATGAGACGATACTGACAGGCTGTCAGGAGAGAGAGGGAGGGAGAGAGGAAAAGAGAGCGCTTCCGCTCATTTCTCTTCCGTGTTATTAGCCAAAGTTAATGTCAACTTGAGTAATGTACTTCATTTGAATGTAATAATTATGTTGGTTGTTTGTGGAAGCGCATCATGTATGGAAAAATGTATCTGAACTTTTCGATCCGTTACGATTATAAACTGAAGCAATATAAAAATGAGCCCCATTAAAGGTGGGGTAGGTAAGTTTGAGAAACCGGCTCGAGATACACTTTTTGTTATATTCCATGGAATGCTCTTAACATCCCGATAGCAATGAATATATTAAGTGCTTTGACAAAAAATCCATTAAAAAATGTCATCTGTGGAAGCCGTAATACTGTAAAAAGCACGACCAATCATTTTAGCCGGCCCGGCTAAAATAACTGGATGGCCTACCTGCCTGTCAGCCTTCCATCTGTGCACAAACTTATCTCGTGCCCTCATTGGTCATGTGCGCGTTCGTGTGTGTTGGAGGAGGGGCTCTATAAGGAAGTGGCAGATTTTCTCCGGTTGTGTATTTTCAAATTCTAGCGATCTCGAGCCGATTTCTCAAACTTACGTACCCTACCTTTAACTGAGTTTTAAACATCACTTTAAATGGAAGATCCCCATTGCCATGTGTTTAGATGTGCTGTATAATTAAACTTGCTTTACATTTAGAGCTATTTCGTTGTCGAACACATTTGTCTTTTTTTTTTTAAAGGAGCAAACAAAGCTCCACTCTGTTGTCGGATCACAGATAATAAGTCATATTGATGTTTTTTGTGATAAAAAATTGCTCACTTGTTTTGAAACTAGCCCAGCAGTCATCATGGGACAGAATTATGAATATTTGTTCATGTGATATCATTTTTTGTCCCAAGGTCAATTATGGACTTTCACACTCAACATTGTCTTCTCTTCAACTTTTCCTCTAGGTGTCTAAGCTAAGGACTGAGAATACAAGGTGGTCATCTGTCTCAAGAACAATCAAAGACGTTTTTCTTCAAACACAAATACATCAACTCCTTACTTCAAACGAAGGACTTTATCGCTTCAGCAAGGACGATGTAACAACAGATTCCTCTCAACAACTCGGGTCATATCGGAATTTAAACACCTTGTCCAATGCCAACCTTCAGAACGAATCTACTTTTGGATGCATGTCCATTTCTATGCTGGAAGTAGCCAGCTTTTCAAACTTGTATTTGCTTTTTTAACAGCGATATTCCCTGATGATCACAAGGGAATATGTCTTCCTGTTTCTGGTGGGAACCTGTTTCCTGTTGGACTACAGCTCCCAGACCCCCCTGCAAGCTGAGCTCCAAAGCAGGACTAAGGCTGGAGCGATGTCAGCCAGGGGGGGGGGGCGGAGGTAAGAGAATGAGGGCTTTGGGGGACGTCCCGTCTCTGGAAGACGGGACGAGGCTGGGGAGACGTGGGAGGTGGAAGCTCCAGCGGAACAAGAGAGGATGGGTGTGGAACCAGTTCTTCGTCCTGGAGGAGTACATGGGCTCTGATCCACAGTATGTTGGAAAGGTAGGTGCATATTGTACATTTTTAAATGTGGGTTTTTTTCTAACAGAGGTACAGTATGCATGGTGCTAGACTCAAGTGCTAATCACACTGTTACATACTAAATAAACCAACGACTCGACTCACCATAATGATTTTAAATGATTTAATTTCTTCTGGTAAGAAAAATGTTTTCCGTTCCTCTGCGTACCAACAGCTGGAACTGCGGTGCAACAACGTAACTTAAAATGTCCGCGGCACTGATGGAGGTTTTCTGTAGCTGTCCAAGTCTGTTCACATTTTCTTTTCCATTAACCAGTCTTTAAACACTGCCAGAGCCCATACCGGGAAGGTTTCTAATTTCTCTAATTTCCCCTCCTCGACTCCTCGGTCCTCCGGTAGTGACCCAGAAATGGATTTCAGCGCGCCATGTTGAAGGACATCTAATTTCTCTAAATGCACATCGAGGACCGAGGATCGAGCATCGAGGAGGCTCTCTGGAGGAGCTATAACCGAGGATAGGATACACTGATGGATCCTCCACGGCTCCTCCGCGGATGTATTTACGGCAACAGTGATGTTTAAAAGAGTCGTGACGCACGGCCGGACTGATCTCAGCCAATGACAGCTTTGCATGCATCCCCTGGATATTATTTTATTAACTGCTTGAATCACGACGCAATGTTTCCAGTGAGAACAGCTGTGAGGTCCGTGCAGAAAGCAGAGCAGTGTGTATAATATATATCACTTAGTATAACAGGCCTACATTACTCTCTTTATTGGTATGCTTTAGTTTAGTAGATATCTACAAACAAAGAGTCGATATTTTTCTAAAACCATTTAGTGCTTCACATAATAAAATACACAACGGCTGTAGCCTGATTATGCTTTAGGAGCTGTAGGTGTGTGTGTGTGGTAGGCTACAGTGTGTAGGTGCATGTTGTACTGTGTGTGTGTGTGTGTGTGCGTGTGCGTGTGCGTGTGCGTGTGCGTGTGCGTGTGCGCGTGCGCGTGTGTGTGCGTAGATGCAGCGGACAGACAGGTCTAAGTTGGTTTGGTGTCCTATGCTTACTTGTAATACTTGTAAATACAACTGTTGGCCCATAATAGTGTTACGCAGGGTTCGAGTTATAATCTGAGTTTTATGGGGTCTTTAAAACTAACGTGTGCGCGTGCGTGCAAGCATGCGCACACACACGCACGTACGCACGCACGCACACACACACACACACACGCAGCAGCAGCCCTCGACTTGCTACAAACTTAAATATGAAAAGGTGAAACTCCGCACACACACATCATCTCTGCTTGTATTGCGCACCTTGGAGGTGCAGTGTAGGCATATTGTCATTCAAGAGAGAATACGATGCGTAGTTCTTTTGGAAAACGTGTTTTTCTTTTAGCCTATTTACCTCGTTAACGTAAATAATACTCATTACATTGACACATGCATTATTTGTGATTAAAATAATGGTTGTTGGTAATGTATTAGCAACCCCCACAGATGTATGATTTCACCGCTTTCATGGGAGCTCAGCTCCCATTGGCTACCACATAACTCGAACCCTGGTGTTACGTTATTATGAGAGTGCTCTCATACTTGTTTGATTCTGAAATTGTATATATATATTTATATAAATAAAAAAAAATAAAAAAAATATTAGGGCTGTCAGTCGATTAAAATATGTAATCGCGATTAATCGCATGATTGTCCATAGTTAATCGCGATTAATCGCAAATTAATCGCACATTTTTTATCTGTTCTAAATGTACCTTAGAGGGATATTTTTCAAGTTTTTAATACTCTTATCAACATATGAGTGGACAAATATGCTTTATATGTTTGTTTATTATCATTCGCCTCAATTCAACCCGGAACCTCTCTCATACAATAATACAATACAAAGTGTGTGTGTGTGTGTGTGTGTGTGTGTGTGTGTGTGTGTGTGTGTGTGTGTGTGTGTGTGTGTGTGTGTGTGTGTGTGTGTGTGTGTGTGTGTGTGTGTGTGTGTGTGTGTGTGTGTGTGTGTGTGTGTGTGTGTGTGTGTGTGTAGACACTGTGATGGATCGTTGGAGCTACGTGCAGCTCAAGGCATATATGCTCAAACGGGAGCTGCCTGGATGCTGCAATCATGTTGCACTATCCGTGCTGAGTGTGTTGACTTTTCGTACAATGTCCCACTGTCTGGCTACCTGCATAAAGTCAAGTGGTCGGCGCAGTTGTCGGCGAAATGTCGCTCCTCTGTTTTCATTGAAACAGCTCCTTATATCCGTTAGCGCAGCTAGCTAGCACCAGATGCTAACAACAACAACAACACGTAAGGTGTGCCTCGCTCGCCCCACACATACACACACCCTCCCGGTCCTCCCGATGGCCAGTCCGGGCCTGCCGGTGAGCGTGGAAGTGTGGTCTGCCACAAGCGGGCGGCAGGAGCGGGGCTGTCAGCATCAGCTTGTAGATGGTATTTTAAACTCGATGCGCTCTGAAACTACGGGGCGGCCAAGGACAAAAAATACACATGCGTTAATCGCGTTAAAATAATTAGTGGCGTTAATTTCTTTTTGCGTTAACGCGTTATTAACTTGACAGCCCTAAGAAATATATATGTGTGTGTGTGTTTGTATATGTCTGCATCTGTAGCCTGTTATTGTCTCATTATACCACGCTGTCAATGAATTAAAAGTAAATATATAAGTGTTCATGAACACATCTGTCCATCAGACAGAGGGCTGCTGTGCCTCCTGTCATCACTAACGGACGTCTCTTTAAAATGACCGCTCAGAGGAGAGGAGTTCTCATTTCTCTAAACGCCTGCTGCTTCCCCTCTCTCCTCGGCTCCCCTCCTCGACTCCTCCGCTCGCATCTCCTGTGGGCGGGACTAAGACACGAGGAGGGGAGTCAAGGAGGGGAATTAGAGAAATCACCAAAAAAAAAAAGAAGCTCGACAGCAGCTCTTCTTCTTCCGCAGGCTGAGGAGGTTCAACATGGACTCCAGGATACTCTGCAACTTCTACAGGTGCACCATAGAGAGGATCCTGACCTTCTACAGGTGCACCATAGAGAGGATCCTGACCTTCTACAGGTGCACCATAGAGAGGATCCTGACCTTCTACAGGTGCACCATAGAGAGGATCCTGACCTTCTACAGGTGCACCATAGAGAGGATCCTGACCTTCTACAGGTGCACCATAGAGAGGATCCTGACCTTCTACAGGTGCACCATAGAGAGCATCCTGACCTTCTACAGGTGCACCATAGAGAGGATACTGACCTTCTACAGGTGCACTATAGAGAGGATCCTGACCTTCTACAGGTGCACCATAGAGAGTATCCTGACTGGCTGCATCACGGCCTGGTACGGCAGCTGCACCGCCCTCAATCGTAAGACTCTACAGAGGGTGGTGAAAACTGCACAGCACATCACCAGGACGGAGCTGCCATCCATGGAGGACCTCTACTCCAAGCGGCTCAGGAAGAAAGCCCTCAGGATTACAAAAGACCCCCATCACCCCAGCCAAACTGTTCTGTCTGCTGCCGTCTGGCAGGCGGTACCGCAGCATCCGGACTAAAACCACCAGATTCAGAGACAGCTTCATACCACAGGCAATAAGACTGTTAAACACCTGAACTGTTGAAACATCCATAACATTCATCTGGTTGCTACTTAGAAATGATTTATCTAATATATCATATTCCAATAACTTGCATTTAGACTCTTATTGCACTATTTCACTTTTTAACGTATTTTTCTTTTTGTATTTACCATTTACTATTTACCTGCACTATATTTTTATGTTTATCTGTTTTATTGTGTTGCACTGTTGGAGGAGCCTGTGACCTAAGATTTTCATCATCATAACTACACTGGAGCTATGTACGCATGACAAAATAAAACCTTGAACCTTGAACCTTGTGCCCTTTAGTGTTTACGTCCTGTCTGTCTTCTTCAGGAGTTCATCGCAATTGATTATTTCGCCTCCTCCTTTCCCTCACTGTGTGTCAGCGAGAGACACGAGGAAGAGACGCGAGGACAGAGGAGTCCTCAGGTATTAATTGGGATGTCCTCGTTCACTCCAGCGTCACCATAAACAACGCCCTTTACTTCTGGCGTGCGCGCAGTTTTATCACCTGTCACTGGACTTCCCTCCACATAAATCCCTTCAAACCTGGGATTTAGTTTCTCATTGAAATTATTTCGTCCATCCATCTCTTTTATTATAGTTTTCTATGTATTATTTTCGGTCCTATATTTGTTTTTCCAGCTATAACATTTAATTTAAGTTATAATTATAATCATAACAATAATAATAATTGATGGATTAATTTCATTATGGTATTTGAGCTTGTTTCAGATCAACTTTTGTATTGGATGTTGTTATTTCATTTGTCCTACAGAAGAGAGACACAAATCACAAAAATATGTATTAGTTATGCTACCCGTATTTTCATATATCCTAAATGTTTGACGTTCTGTGGGTCTACCACACATGCATCAAAAACCACAGGTAAGAACTGTAAGTTATTATTTTATAATCAAAACATTATTATTTAATTTGTAAGTATATTTCACACACTTTAATGTTTTTATAGCGTATGATCTCCTCATTCGTTTAAGAGATGTATATATTTTACTCTTATTGAAGCACTTTAAACATGCCTCTGATCCTCTTTTAACAGTCAGAACAGCTGCAGTGAGCAGAGGCTGTGCAGCTGGGGGCGGAGCTTTGATGCGCGAGTAGTGAAAACACTTCTGCGTAGTCTACTCTCGTGTATCCTCGCTCTCGTCTCCTCTGGAAGCCTCCTCCTTCCCCCCTCCTCGACTCCTCTGTGTGCATTTAAGAGATTGGGACGTCCTTCAACATGACGTGTCTTGATCGATTTCCGGTTCAAGTCCCGAGGAGGGGAGGAGAGAGGAGTCGAGGAGGGACATTGAGGGTGTTTCTCAATGTCGAGGACGCTTCCTTGGTAGGACTCTTCCGAGTCAGGTCCTTCAGAAGCGAGGCAAGAATCCTTCCTAGCCTTG